GTTCTGTCTATATTTTTCTCAGAATCTTTTGTTTATATGCAACTATAGCACTAGCTGTTGTGCCTGAGAGTAATAGAAAGTGATAATTGCAAATCTATCCTATGGTTTTGTCAGAGTGATTTGGAGAACATGGCTTCTAAAATGCCCGGCTGCCACAGAGGAGGCTTTGCACTCTACAAATTAATGTTACAAGGCGTAAATGGTAGCTAAAAAAGTAGCCGTTCGGCAGAAATAACTTTTATGCCAAAAAGCAATAAGTTGGGGTTGCTCAGCTTATTGCGTTTGGCTTGTTTTAAGCAGTTTTTAACTTATTTTAAGTACTTTTTAACTTTATCAAATACCGAAAAGAAAACTAGAAAGAGCTTAAAAGCTGATTTGACCATCTTAAAAGTCAATCCAAACACTCTCTTTGTCATATTGAACCACAAGTTTGCTTCTTTACTTTACTATGTATTGAGCTGGATCAGTTTTATTTTTGTCACTTCTGGATTTGTTCAATAATTGGCTTGCATCGTATAGCTTGTTGATCCTCCCCAACCCCACCCCCTGCGCGCACAGATAGAGAGAGAGAGTTAAAAGAATACGAAATATCATTTTCATAATGATCATATAGTAATATAAAGCACATAGTGCTGTATAATCCTTTTATTGGATGGCTAACTATAATCCATAGATCAGCATAAAAGCTTAGTTTGAAAGGTGTGGCTCACTATATTAATGCGCCTGTGTATTATCGGAATTTTTACCTCCTATAGGAAAGGTTAACACCTTATTTATTTTAAATAAATACTATTTAAAAAAATTATATTCTATAGATACCTTTTAAGGTTTATAGCAAAATATTTAATTATGGTTTCCCCCTAGCCCTAAGCTACTAAATACGCTAATCAGTTACACTTTTTTCTTTCTCTCTCTACTTTGATACATTCCATTCTCCCAAAATTTCGTGGATCTCTTCCTCTTAACCAAAATAACTCCAATAAAGGCAATACTGATATTAATTATTGGAACAGCATTTTAGTACGAAACAAAAATCCATCAAACCTTAATAAGCCAGCTTGCAAATATGCACAAACAAAGTAATTGAAGACGAAGAAGATAAAAGCCTAAATTTTGGCGTAACCGCATGCTATTTAATTAAGGAGAAATCACAGCCTTGGAGTTTATCAAAATCGGAATTTTACGAAAACAATCAAAATCGGAAAGGAAGAAGAAAAAGAAGAAACATACTGGAGTTGGCGTATTATTCATGTCCACGAATATCAAAATCGGAATCTCTGATTTCTGATTTCTGTGATTTCTCGTTTTCTTAGTCTTTCTCTCATCGTTGCTTATGGAATCATGGTCGGAATCCGATGGGTCGTCGGAAAATTGTCGACTAAAATAGTTCGTCTGAAGTTTGGGGTTGAGCAATTTGAAGATTCTGTTGCCTTTTTTTTAAGAGCATTTCAATGTATCTCGTTGTATTTCTATGTATTTCATTGTATTCACTATCTTTTTTTCATTGTAATTCAATGTATCTCGTTGTATTCCATGTATTTCATTGTATTCAGTATCTTTTTTTCTCATTGTATTTCAATGTATCCCTCTGTATTCTATCTATTTCATTGTATCCATTGTCTCGCTATATGCCATGAATGTATTCATGTGTTTTTTTTTAATTAATATAATTTATGTATTCAGATGTATTATATAATTTCTCTGAAGATTGCTATATTTTTTGGGTATTTTGCGGTTGAGAATTTTTTTTATAACTGAAAAATACAAAATTTGTGTGTTATAATTGAGTTTGTTGAGTTATATTAGGAGTATATTATGTTAATTGATTCGCTTTCCGTTTTAAAAACAGTGTAATCCCCTATTTCACGCCATGAATACAGTCGAATACAATAATCTGTCAAGCTGTAATCTCATGTTTCACTCCATGAATACAGTCGAATACAACAACTGATTAGCTGGACTTCCCTGATTCACGTCTATTTTTGCTACTGTTTTCATGAATACGATAGCTTAAATATATCAAATACATCTTATAACCTCAGAAAAGGTATCTATAATCCGTAATATAGCAAACGGTATCTATAGATAGCTAATTACTACTAAAAGATACTGCTTTATGAAAATTTCTCATTATTATCTACTCTCCCTTGCTTTAGGGATAACACAAATGCTTTAGCTTATTTACACCATTGACTGTGCCGTTCATGCACGTTCTATCAGCTATACGCATGTTTTAGTCTCGTTTTAATATTATATCAGGAGAATATTATTTACTATGACTAGTATTTTATTTTAGAAGGGTAAATCAAGACAAATGATGAATCTGATTTGACTGGATAAGCAGGAACTATTGACCTAATTTATGTTCAGAGTTGGTAGTGCTATAAGAGTGAAAATATATATTGTGAAAATAGAGTTTTAGAGCCCGTTTGGACATTTTTATCTAAAAAATTTCACTTTTTTTCGAAATCAGTGTTGGCCATAAATTTTTACTTGAAGATGAATTTTGGAATTTTTCGAAAATTTGAAAAACTCCAAAAAACTGTTTTTCAAAATTTTTACTCAGATCACTCACAAAAATTCAAAAACAATCCAAAATTATATTCATGTCCAAACATAACTCTAATTTTCAAATACCATTTTCATTAAAAAAAAATCACTTTTTTTTGGGAGTTTTATAATTCTTGTGTCCAAACGCCCACTAAATGTAAACGAACGGATGATTTGATATAAAGTGCCTTATATCAAAAGGTTGTTTTATTTTTAGAGCTCAAAGCCGGTAGCTCCTCTTAAAAAAAGCGAGTAACTTGAAGAACAAACTTTCAAGATTTTCGTTCGTTTTATATTGGCTTAAAAAGTGGAGGTTAGCGTCGGGAGTCTTGTGTGACAAGAAAGTGTCATCGTTACTAAAAGATAAGTTTTATAGAGCATTGATTAGGCCTGCAATGTTATATGGAACTGAATGTTGGCCGGTAAAGAACTCACACATCCAGAAGATGAAAGTAGCAGAGATGAGGATGTTGAGGTGGATGTGCGGGCATACAAGGATGGATAAGATTAGGAATGAAGATATTCGAGAGAAGGTGGGCGTGGCCCCCATGGAGGACAAGATGCGGGAAGTAAGACTCAGATGGTTCGGGCACATTCAGAGGAGGAGCACTGATGCACCGGTGAGGAGGTGTGAGCGACTGGCTGTAGTGGGCACGCGGAGAGGTAGAGGGCGACCTAAGAAGTATTGGGGAGAGGTGATCAGACAGGACATGGCGCGACTTAGGATTACTGAGGACATGGCCCTTGACAGGGAATTATGGAGGTCGAGCATTAAGGTTGTAGGTTAGTGGAAAATTGTGAATATTTCTACAGCACAATAGAGTGAGACTAGCCAATTAGGAGTTAGACTAAGAATGTCATTGGTCGTCTATTGATGCAGGGCTTTACTTGTTAGTTTTACTATACCAGCCATCTATGTCGTATTTCGTATTCTGTATTTCATATCTCTTATATTGCTGTTATTTTATTATGCACTTTTATGGTACTAATATATCGGCTCCTGTTGCTTTTTTTGAGCCGAGGGTCTCCTGGAAACAGCTTCTCTACCCTTCGGGGTAGGGGTAAGGTCTGCGTACATATTACCCTCCCCAGACCCCACTTGTGGGATTATACTGGGTCGTTGTTGTTGTTGTGTTATATTGGCTTAAAAAATTTCAAGAAGTATCTCAATCAAACTTTTTTTAAAAATCAAAAGAAAAATTTCAACTAAATATTAAGAAAGAAGATTATTTTTTTTCAGTTTTTAAGAAGCTGAAAAACTTGGTCGCATTTGTTTCAAAGAGAGTGAAAATAATTTTAAGTGAAACTTTTCTCTGTGTTTCCGACCAAAAAAAAAAATATCAAGCCAAACCCCATTTAAGGATAAGTATTTCAATTTTTGGAAAAACATAATCTCTCTGTCTTTCTATTTCTGGAATGATATGTCTAAAAAAAAATTACATGCACAAATGTAAAACAAATTGCTTCTAGCTCCTGAGAGCGCGTGGTACGCACTTTACTTTTGTAAAGAATATATATGTGTGTGGTTCTAGACCTTCTGGTAATATGGTTAGTGAAATTATTCACCAACCACAGGGATTAGTTTTTTCTTCTGTTTCATCTCAAATTATTGAAAGAAAATTATAATAATAAAAAATAAAAAATAACCATTAATATTTCAAATGTGATTCTCAAAATTCAAATCATCACCACCAACTTCAGAAAAAGTTCCATTTTTGTGGTTCTTTTTTCTTTTTGTTCAAGAACTCAGGGTAGTGATTCTCACTTATTATATATACAGAAATTTTGTTTTTTGAATGCATGTGCCATTTTAATGTCCCTTTTTCTCTAGCAATTGTATATTTTACACATTTTCCTTGTTCCAACTTATATAGACACCCCATACTTTTTTAGAAGCTTTTCTTCCATTTATTAAAAGCAATATACATTGGTTGTTTTCATCACCCAAAAAAAAATAATTCTTTGTTATTGTGGGGTTCTTGAATTTTTATCAGGAAGCTGGAAAAAGTTGGAAATTTCAGAAGTTTATTCATATCCAGGTAAATATTTTCCCTTTTTTCTTTATCTTAATTGGCAATCTTTTGATTGTGTTATGCATGTACTTAGGAAGGAGAAGACAATAGCCATATGATAACAAAGCTTCAATTTTGTTTACTGGTGGCTAGATAGTGTATTGAAAATCATGAATTGAAGGTCAAAAATTGAAAATGAATGCCTTTCTTCATGTGGAAAAAGAAATATTTTAAAGATTTTGCTGTTTATGTTGTTTCGAGAATCTATCGAAAACAGCATCTCTACCTTCCAAGTAAGGGTAAAGTCTTCGTACACACTGCCCTCCCCAGACCCTACTTTGGGATTATACTGGGTTTGTTGTTGTTGGTTGTTGTTTATGTTGTTGTTGTTACCAGGGTATTGATTTTGGCTCAAACTTGAAAAGGAATGTGAGTGAAATTCAAGTTTTTCGCTTTGATGAATCGAGGGAAGTGTGATTATAGAATAAAGTTTTTCATGTTGGCTCTTGAGCCTTCATTAGAATTAAAAAATATGATTGTTGATTTGAGTGTTTGAGGGAAGAAAAAAAAGGATTGTGGTTCAAGATTAGCATAGAGAGGGAAGAGGAAGTGGGGTTTTGGGCACTTTTAATAAGATGGAGGCACCAACAGCTCAGCCAACCACACCCCGGAAAAAGATGACGAAACAATTAACGGGGAAACGTGATGATTCTGCCTTGCATTCGGCAGCTAGAGCTGGAAATATTGTTGCAATAAGAGAGACTATAAAGAACACGGGCGAGGAAGAATTAGCGGAGTTGTTGATAAAGCAAAATTCAGCAGGAGAGACCCCCTTGTATGTTGCAGCTGAATATGGTTATTATGAGGTGGTTAGGGAGATGATCATGTATTATGATCTTGTCACAGCTGGCATCAAAGCGAGGAACGGGTTTGATGCATTGCATATTGCTGCCAAACAAGGAGATTTAGGTAAGCTTTTGATGATTTATATATGAACTGCTAGTATCACTTTAGCCTTTCAATATTCTGATGTCAAATTTATGAGATTTAGATGAACTTGTTTGTTCGAGATTATATATAGAGAACTTTCTAGTACTTTTTATTTTTATTTTGTATAATATTTATTGGACAGTGATGACCTTAAATGGAGCGACCTGATCAATAAGTATTTATATAGCTTAGCCCAACCTGCTTTAGATTGAGGCGTTGTTGTTATTGTCGATGTTGTTTGTTCATTTTTGGCAATGTTGCAGATATGGTGAAGGTATTACTGGAAGCACATCCAGAGCTAGCGATGACAGTTGATGTCGCAAATACAACAGCTTTGCATACTGCAGCGAACCAAGGGCATATAGAGGTGGTGAATTATTTCTTGGAGGAACAGAGTAGTTTGGCCACTATAGCTAAAAGTAACGGGAAAACAGCACTGCATTCTTCTGCAAGGAATGGACATTTGCAGGTTTTGAAGGCTCTTTTGAGTAAGGAGCCAGGGATTGCAACACGGATGGATAATAAAGGACAGACTGCACTTCACATGGCTGTCAAAGGACAAAACCTTGAGGTTGTGGAGGAGCTCATTAAAACTGATCCTTCATTAATTAACATGGTTGACAATAAGGGCAATACGCCATTGCATATTGCAGCTCGGAAAGGGAGGTCTGAGGTACGTTTCATCTAAAACTCCTGCTGTATTGATGATATTTTAGTTAATGAGTGTCCTTTGTTTACCAAAAAAAGAGATGAAAACAGTTTCTAGTTAGAGTCTATAACATTGTTCAATCACTTTGACAGACATGTTCGACTAATTTTATATTTGGTTGCTTCATCTCTGAGCATGATGCTGCTAGTGCTTATTAGTAACGAAGTGTAAAAAATCTATATATCATTGACAGAAATGCAGGGTGAGGCTGCATACAATAGACCCCTGTGATCCGGCCCTTCCCTCGACCCCGCACATAGCGGGAGCTTAGTGCACCGGGCTGCGCGATTGACAGAATATTCAAATGTTCATGTTCTTCCAAAAATAGCTAGGCCACTTGTACCAGTTATTACTTCATATATGAACCAAATTGTTGATAATTGAAGTGGAATTGTTGATCATATGGAGATCTGACTTGTTTTGACTGATATTGCAGATTGTTAAATTGCTACTTGGGCAGAATGAAACAGATAAAAAAGTGATCAATAGGTCCCACGAGACAGCTCTCGACACTGCTGAGAAAATGTCACAGGCTGAGACTGTAGCCATCCTACAGGAACATGGCGTTGAAAGTGCACGAGTTCTCAAACCACAGGCAATAAATCCAGCAAGAGAGTTGAAGCAAACCGTTAGTGACATCAAACACGAGGTGCACGATCAGTTAAAACACACACGACAGACAAAAAAACGCATACAAGGCATTGCCAAACGCCTCCACAAAATGCATCGAGAAGGCCTTAACAACGCGATCAACTCAACAACTGTCGTTGCTGTACTAATCGCCACAGTTGCCTTTGCAGGAATATTTCAAGTGCCGGGGCAATACTATATGGATCCAGATAACCTCCCACCTGGCCATATAATTGGAGAAGCAAACATATCGAACCACCCTGTATTTCTCGTTTTCTTTATCTTCGACTCTATCGCGTTATTCATCTCGCTTGCAGTTGTGGTTGTTCAGACAACAGTTGTGGTCATTGAAAGC